GAGTTTCTTAGAAAGAATAAAAGCCTGATTAAATACAAACCCTACAATGCCTTAGTATCTCTGCTTCACCTTCATATTATCTGTTAAGGAACAAGATCCTAAATCAAAAAAAGAGAGCAAGACTTCACTTTCAAACACTTAAGCTCAAGAATCTCTGGTTTATCAGCTATGCAGTCTCCAGATTGTGTCTATGGAATCACTTCATAGTATTTTATAGCTTTCCCTCTGAAAAAGTAGCTTCAAGATGCGAAATCGCAACGGATTCAGGCAGTTTCATCGAAATCGTGGTGATCGTCTTGACGGCTTTTCTCTCCTGAAGTAAACAAAATTTTCGAAAAACAAAAAGCTTCTCAGTAAAGCAAACTTCTTTTTCTTGCAATGCAAAGCTTTAACTAAAGTGGTCAAATTCTTTAAAGACATGCTTTACTCTTCTAGGCTTTAGAGAAAGATAAAATTCTAAAGAAGCTTTCACCTAAAACCAAAAATTACACATAATATTCCTGTTTCAAACCATTTTAAAAGACCAATCCTATACATACAATGAAGACTAAATTAAAGAAACAAGAATTATGCATGAGTAAACACACTACATAAGCCACTTTCATCACAAATTTCTCTAAGGGATTGGCTTTTAAGAGCAAAATAGATGATTTTTACTTATTGAAAAATAAGTGTAAGAGATTGAAACCTGAAAAAAGATATATGTACCTGTTATGAATAGGATCAGGTCCATTAGGAACTTTTCGCTTGCTCATGTAAAATGGATTCACATTTTTGTTAATTTGATGTGTGTTTTTACCATGAAACCGCAAAGTCTTGACTTTTTCTGTTGATAAAACCCTTGATGCAGAGTATGGTAAGATAGCTAAAAGAAGAAACACAATAACACCCAACGACACAAGAGCTTTCATTATTCCCATAGTTTTTTTCTTTCTGCGATTGTGTGTCCTACAAGTTAGTGTTGTGCACACCAACCAAACCAAAGACACAAACAGAGCAGAAGATCCATGAAGTGTCTGTCATATAAAT